CAATTTACCTACCTTAGAAAGGATGGAAGGCTGAGTCAACCTTGAGCCTGGCGAGATTCAACTTACTTTAATTGCAGACAGCTGGTGTTAAATTACAGTGTCTTGGAGCTATCCAGGCTCCTAAGGTCTTTGATCATCTTAGTTGATCTCTCTAAACTTTTTCCATGGTCTCAACATCCTTTTGGTAGTATGGTGACCAAAATACATACTAATTATTCCAGGTGTGGTCTTACTAGGGTTTTGTAAAACAGCACTAATATTTCACGTGATCTTGATTCTACGCCTCTGTTTATACAACCCAGAATCGTATTAGCTTCTCTGGCTGTTGCTGCACACTGCTGGCTCATATTCAAATGATCGTCCACTAGGACAGCGGTCACCAACTGGTGGTCCGTGAGAAAATTTTTATGGTCCACAGAAAAATTATTTGCATTTTTTTTTTTTTTAAATTTGATTTATATGCCTCTCTTTTCCGGAGACTCAGGGCGGCCTACAATGCGTTAAGCAATAGCTTTCATACTTTTGTATATTTATACAAAGTCAGCTTATTGCCCCCACAAACAGGGTCCTCAATTTCCCTACCTTAGAAAGGATGGAAGGCTGAGTCAACTTTGAGCCTGGTGAGAGTCGAACTTACAGTAATTGCAGACAGCTGGCGTTAATCACAATGCTATCAGTCTGCTGAGCCACTAGGCTGACATATTTTAAAAATATTGCACAAAATCAGGGGTCCTCAAACTATGCCCCCTGGGCCGGATATGTGCAATGAACGTTTGTGTTGCTGCAGAGAGTCAACATCAGCAGAGATTTAATGCTTCCCTGCTGCTTTCTGCCCTACCACCTTCTTGCCCTATAGCAGTGTTTCTCAACCTTGGTAGCTTGAAGATGGGTGGACTTCAACTCCCAGAATCCTCCAGCCAGCAGTGCTGGCTGGGGGATTCTGGGAGTTGAAGTCCACCCATCTTCAAGCTTCCAAGGTTGAGAAACACTGCCCTATAGGGATTCTGGGTTTATAAGTACTCCTCGAATAATCACACGATTCATTCATTCACTTATGACCATATTCGTAATTACATCCATTGCAGCATCCCCATGATCACGTGATTTAAAATTCAGCTGCTTGTCACCTGACTCGTATTAATGAAATGACGGTGGCAGTGTCCTGGGGTCACATGACCCCTCTTGAGGGACCTTCTGATGAGCAAAGTCAAGGGGGAAGCCAGATTCTCTTAACAACTGTGTCAAGAAAGGCCGTCAAAAGGGGCCAAACCCACTTAACAAATGCCTTGCTTAGCGACGGAAATCTTACGCTACCCTGGATCCGCAAAGACAAAGTGAGTGAGGATTTCTACTTCCCTGGATCCACAATTAGAATAGAATAGAATAACAAAGTTGGAAGGGACTTTGGAGGTCTTCTAGTCCAACCCCCTGCTTAGGCAGGAAAACCTACACCACTTCAGACAAATGGTTGTCCAATTTCTTCTTAAAAACTTCCAGTGTTGGAGCATTCACAACTTCTGGAGGCAAGTAGTTCCGCTGGTTAATTGTTCTGACTGTCAGGAAATTTCTCCTTAGTTCTAGGTTGCTTCTCTCCTTGATTAGTTTCCATCCATTGCTTCTTGTCCTGCCCTCAGGTGCTTTGGAGAGTAGCTTGACCTCTTCTTTGTGGCAACTCCTGAGATATTGGAACACTACTATCATGTCACCTCTAGTCCTTCTTTTCATTCAACTAGGCATAACAAATTCCAGCAGAAGAGAAGGAGACATCTCTCTGTGTGTGTGAGAGAGAGAGAGACTTTGGAGTCTTAGTAGACGATCACTTGAATATGAGCCAGGAATGTGCAGTAGCAGCCAAAAAAGCTAATACATGGTTGTATGAACAGAGGCATAGAATCAAGATCACGTGAAGTATTAGTACCACTTTATAAAACCCCTAGTAAGACCACACCTGGAATACTGCAACCAAGTTTGGTCCCCATGCTACAAAAAAGTTGTTGCGATTTTGGAAAAAGTTCAGAGAAGAGCAGCTAAGATGATCAAAGGCCTGGAGATTAAAACATATGAAGAACGGCTGCAGAATTTGGGTCTGGCTAGTCTAGAGAAAAGAAGAATTAGGGGCGACATGATAGCACTATCCCAGCATTTGAGAGGTTGCCACAATGAAGAGGGGAGGTCAAATTATTCTCCAAAGCGCCAGAGGGCAGAACAAGAAACAATGGTTGGAAACTGATCAAAGGGAGAAGCAACCTGGAGTTAGAGAGAAACTTCCTAACAGTGAAGACAATTAACAAGTGCAACAGCTTACCTTCAGAAGTTGTGGGCGCTTCATCAATGGAGGTTTTTAAGGAGAGACTGGACAGTCATTTATCTGAAATGCTACAGGGTTTCCTGCTTGAGTAGGGGGCTGGACTAGAAGACATCCAAGGTCCCTTCCAAGTCTATTCTATTCTATATACTAGGACGGGACATTAAGCCCTTCCATTTTGCACACTACTTCCTCTGATCTTGTGATCTGCAACAGCTGAACCCGGACCAAAATCCCAGGTCCCAAAACTACCATTTTAGTCTTAAGCTGCAACACTGTACGGGAAATGTTTGCAAATCAGCTCGGTTGGGACTCGCTTCCACGTCATTCCCCCTCTCTTCAAAGACGCATACATCTTTATCAGCGCTGCCCCAGGGCTGGTGACAGTCCAGCATTTGAGTGAGATATGACATTCCCCTGAAATGTCCTCGTGCCTCTAAGCATCTTCCCCTCCAAGGGTATCGGCTTCCCGCTTGTTCGCTCCATTTTTAAAAGCTCATTTTCGGAAGCGCGCTCATTCTTCCTGACCTGCTTATCTTTAAAAAGAAAATCAGCAGGCTTGTACCTATTAGCATTCCCTTGACCTCAACATTTTTTGGCAACCTTTGCTTCAAATAGCTCAAATAAGCTAGACTGTGAATATGATGTCCTTCGTACCCCAGACAGCTGTCCTTCGGGACTGCCGGGTATAAGGGAAAGGAGGGGTGGGGTGGGGGAGATAAACAGACCACCAGCAAAAATTCAACATTCACATCGCCGCCGAGATAGTCATTTAATAAACACAAACTTCTGTTAAGTATATTTAAGGACATTTCAGTGGGTGATGTTCATTCAGAATTTAGAATAACAGAGTTGGAAGGGATCTTGGAGGTCTTCTAGTCCAACCCCCTGCTTAGGCAGGAAACCTTACACCACTTCAGACAAATCGTTATCTAACATCTTCTTAAAAACTTCTAGCGTTGGAACATCCACAACTTCTGGAGGCAAGTTGTTCCACTGATTAATTGTTCTGTTGGGAAATTTCTTCTTAGTTCTAGGTTGCTTCTCTCCTTGATTAGTTTCCACCCACTGCTTCTTGTCTGACCCATAGGTACTTTGGAGAATTAGCTTGACTCCCTCTTCTTTGTGGTAGCCCCTGAGATATTGGAACACTGCTATCATGTCTCCCCTAGTCCTTCTTTTCATTAAACTAGACATACCCAGTTCCTGCAACCGTTCTTCATATGTTTTAGCCTCCAGTCCCCTAATCATCTTTGTTGCTCTTCTCTGCACTCTTTCTAGAGTCTCCACATCTTTTTTACATTGTGGCAACCAAAACTGAATCAAATATTCCAAGTGTGGCCTTACCAAGGCCTTATAAAGTGGTATTAACACTTCACATGATCTTGATTCTATCCCTCTGTTGATGCAGCCTAGAACTGTGTTGGCTTTTTTGGCAGCTGCTGCACACGGCTGGCTCATATTTAAATGGTTGTCCACTAGGACTCCAAGATCCCTCTCACAGTTACTACTATTGAGCAAGGTACCACATATACTGTACCTGTGCATTTTGTTTTTCTTGCTTAAATATAGAACCTTACTTTTTTCACAATTGAATTTCATTTTGTTAGATAGAGCCCAATGTTCAAGTCTGTCAAAATCCTTCTGTATTTTAAGCCTGGAGTGTTGGCTATTCCTGCCAGCTTGGTGTCATCTGTAAATTTGATGAATTCCCCATCTATCCCCTCGTCCAAGTCATTGATGAAGATGTTGAAGAGTACTGGGCCTAAAACAGAGCCTTGGAATACTCCACTACATACTTCCCTCCATGTAGATGTAGATTGTGGAGTGTTTTGGGCCCTCGGTTACAACTTCTTTTAGGAACAAGAAAGAATCCGAAGATCGTTGAAAGACCATCTCTGGAAAACCTCCAAACACTTATTATTTGGGAAGGCAGGTGATAATTTACGAAAACGACTTTTCCGGTTGAGTCTTCCAATTTCTGGAATCAACTCAAAAGCACGGTTTGTGTTGTGGCTCCATTACCTGAGCCTGTGTCATCGGCAGGAGAGGACTCCAAGAGTGAAGGAGAGGAGTTGGCAAGGCCTCCCTCTCCAGGACCCTCCTCTCTGGCAATGCCTTCGGTGTCCGCCGAAGGGCAAGAGATAGGGCCGGGGCCAAGCACGTCCACGCAGCCACAGGTGGACAGTGATGAGAGTAATGAGTCTTGGCTGGATCCACGCCAGCGTCGCAGAGATAAGCACGCGCAACAGAAGAAAAGGCGTGCCCGAGATTAGGCTGAGTCACTGGACCACACCCCACAGGATATAAAAGGGAGCGTGGTGGCCAGTCAAACCTTGTGACGAACAAAGCTGAAAGCTTCCACACCATTCTGCATTGTCGGATTTTTTGCTATAGACTTTGCTGGATTATCTCTGGACTTGATTGACTCCGTAATTATTGAGCTGTTTCTTTTGATGTACCAGGAGTGGGGAGAAGTTATCTCTCCTCTTCGTAAATAATAAACTCTTGGCAGGCAGCCACTAGGTTGTTGCCAAGTTCCATTATCTTAAGGAAAAGAATTTTGCCGGCTGGTTTGGTCTTTAACTATTGAACGTCTGTTGGTGTGTGTGTGTGCGTGTGGTTGGGGACAGAACAGTTTGATTGATACTCATAGCAAGAGCAAGAACCAAGTTCCAGTTGTGTAAAACCTTACCTTTGGATCAATGTCCCAAAGAGCAGGTGTAGGATCTTCTGCATGTTCTCTGACCACAGCCAACTCCACTGGTCTACCATGATCAGACAAAGAAGGTCCAGAACGACATCTGCCAGCAAAGTCTCTGGTCCTGCAAACATAAGAAGATTTTACACCAGGTCTACAACTTCGCTATTGTCCATACATGTAAGAGCACCTTCATGTTTTTCCTAACTCTAATTTGAGATACTAGAGATCGCATCACCATTAAAAGTATATGCACTTAACCATCAAGTCTGGTGTACTAGTGAAGGTATTAGGCTAGAATGGGTAACTTTGTGTCAATCACCAGGAGAGTGTGAATTCTAGTTCTGCCTTAGGCATGAAAGCCACATGGTTGACTTGGAACCAATCACCAGGAGATAGTGAATTCTAGTCCCACCTTGGGCACAAAAGCAGGCTGGGTAACTTTGTGTCAATCACCAGGAGAGTGTGAATTCTAGTTCTGCGTTAGGCATGAAAGCCGCATGGGTGACTTTGAACCAATCACCAGGAGATAAGTGAATTCTAGTCCTACCTTGGGCATAAAAGCAGGCTGGGTGGCTTTGAGCCAGTCCCTCTCTCTTTCTCATCCCAAACCATCTCGCAAAGTTGTTGTTGTGGGAAAGGTTGGAGGAGGAAGGAGTGTTAGGCGTATTCACCACCTTGAGTTATTTATAAAAATCATACAGGCGGGATTTTAAAAGTCTAAAAATAGCTTTTTATCCCTCCTTAAAGACGCGCCAACTCTTCTTGGCTTATTCCAGATTAGGCCACGAGTTTACCATAGGATTACTGTTCCTTCTTAAAGGCAGTAAAACAAATCAAGTCAGCAAGCAAGGGAGAAACGGATAATCAAGCAGTTCTTTGCAGAACAAAAAAAACCCAAAACAGTTTTTTTTGTTGTTGTTCTGCAAAAAAGGAACCAGTGAAGATGGAAACATGGGAAAAGATTTGGGTTAGAAATGTTAAGTTTACGCAAGCACAAAATTTGAGAATTTTTATAAAATGTTTTATAGATGGCACTTAGATCCTAAAAAATTATCATGTATGTACTCGAATTTGCAAGCTAAATGTTGGAGATGTGAATGTAATGATGCAACCTATTATCATATATGGTGGACCTGTAAGAAAATCAAGGCATTTTGGATAAAAATTTGGTGGGTGATGCAGAACATTCTGAAAAGAAGGTTGAAATTTACTCCTCAATTGTTCCTACTGGGTATAACTACAGACTGTACAGTATCAGAGACTAAATTGATTTTGAATTTAATATCAGCAGCTAGGCTGTTGGTAGCGCAATATTGGAAGAAGGACTCTTTGCCTACTATTGAAGAGTGGATACTGAAAGTAACGAACCTAGCAGAAATGGCGAAAATCTCAGCGTACTTGAAGGACTATACACAAGAAAGATACGTATCGGAATGGAGAAGATGGATTGATTATATTCAAAATAAGTATCAGACAAGAAAATATCAAATAGCTTATGAATGAACGTTAAGTATTAGAAGTATTATGTTATCTATAGTGGAGTTAAGGTTTCGGGGGGATCTAGTAGTCCCCCTATTTATCCTATTTATCCTCAGATAAATAGGTTAATCTAGTTTATGATTGTTAAATGAAATACCTTGTATTTTGCTCTGGGAAGTCTGGGGGGGAAGGGTGGGATGAGGGGAGGGAAAGGGTGGGGGGAACATGGGGGGGAAGAAAATTCTTGTTTTTTTGTAAAACTTTTCAAAAAAAAACAACAACAACCACAAAACAGTAAGGAGATTCCAGACAGCAGACCTCATTCAGCCTTACAAACATGGCTTTTTTCCCCCCTGATTGTGCTAGTATTGTAGTCGCCACGATGATCATGGCTTAATGACCGTATCAGGAAAAGCTGAGATAGAGGTCATTAAGCAAGGTGATCTCACATGAGCCCCTCACGTTAACGATCATCGGAATCTGTGACTGCAATGGCCAGGCTCCATTCCAGTTGCAACTTGAGAATTACCTGTAGCCAACCTTGGCTGATCTCAGAACTGAGCAGCTTCGGCTTTAATCATTACTTAGATGCGGGAACCATCTAAGAACTGCGGCGCACTGCAATGTGAGAAGCCACAGGCATTCAGGAGATCAGGAAGCGCCTGCTTTGATTTCCAGGCCAGCTATAAAGAGATGCTGCCTCATCTCTACGGATGACGTCCCAAGCTAATTCTTACCCAACCTGTCCAAGCAACCTCAGCTTTCATGCCTCTTTACCTTTCCCCAGCCTGTAAACCAGTGGTGAAATCCAAATTTTTTAACTACCGGTTCTGTGGGCGTGGCTTGGTGGGCATGGTAGGGGAAGGATACTGCAAAATCTCCTTTCCACCCCACTCCAGGGGAAGGATACTGCAAAATCTCCATTCCCACCCCACTCCAGGGGAAGGATACTGCAAAATCTCCATTTCCACCGCACTCCAGGGGAAGGATACTGCAAAATCTCCATTCCCACCCCACTCCAGGGGAAGGATACTGCAAAATCTCCATTCCCACCCCACTCCAGGGAAGGATACTGCAAAATCTCCATTCCCACCCCACTCCAGGGGAAGGATACTGCAAAATCTCCATTCCCACCCACTCCAGGGGAAAGGATACTGCAAAATCTCCATTTCCACCCCACTCCAGGGGAAGGATATTGCAAATTCTCCATTTCCACTGCACTCCAGGGGAAGGATACTGCAAAATCTTCATTCCCACCACACTCCAGGGGAAGGATACTGCAAAATCTCCATTTCCACCACGCTCCATGGGAAGGATACTGCAAAATCTCCATTCCCACTCCACTCTGGGGCCAGTGAGAGGTGGTATTTGCCGATTATCCGAACTACCACAAATTTCCGCTCCTGGTTCTCCAGAACCTGTCAGAACCTGCTGGATTTCACCCCAGCCCGTAAACGCATTGTGCGTCACAGCTGATCGCTTTGCATCGGCAGAACTGCCTCCTAAGAAGAATTTGGTGGGTAGGGAAAAACCCTTTCATAGATTATATTGCAAGCAGGCCTTTAATTCCGTATTGCTTTAAATCCTGGGTAACTTTCGTGAGGGATTATTTCAAATTCATGCGATGCTGCTGCCACCTTGTGGCCGATTCCCCATTTGACCATGGAGACCATTTCTATTTCAAAAGCTCTCTTATTGCCTTCGTAATGGAGGACGTTTCGTGACAGAACAGGCAAAAAGGCTGTCTTTTAACGAGCTGTCAATCAATCTGTATAGGTCTGTGCTGTCCCCTTCAGAGAAGTCCAATGAACTCCACATCTCAATTAACAAATGTTCTGTTTTACACATTGGCAACAAAAATCAGAACATCAAATGCAAGCTGGGCGGATATGACCTCGTAGATGACCCTCACTCTGTCAAGGACCTAGGACCGTGATGGTGAATCTATGGCATGCATGCCACAGGTGACACGCCGAACCATATCTGTGGGCACATGCACGCGACAGCCAGCTAATTTTCGGGCCTTCCGGGCCCACCGGAAGTTGGGAAACAGGCTGCTTCCGGCCTCCGGAGGGCCTCTTGGGGGAGGCAGTTTTGCCCTCCCCAGGCTCCTAGAAAGCGTCTAGAGCTCGGGGAAGGAGAAAAACGGGCCTAATGGGCCCACCACATCATCGTGTACCAAAAGCGGGGGGAGCACGGGGCATTAAATTATGGGTGTGGGCAGTGTACACGCGAACCCCCTCCCCACACTCCCCACGCTTTTGGCACATGATGGCAAAAAGGTTAGCCATCACTGACCTAGGAGTACTCATTTCAAAGGATCTAAGCGCCAGAGCTCACCGTAACAGCATTGCCAAAAAGGCATTAAGAGTTGTTAACCAAATTTTGCAAAGCTTCTTCTCCGGTAACAATATACTGCTAACTAGGGCCTACAAAACCTTTGCCAGACCAATTCTCGAATAGAGCTTGTCTGCCTGGAATCCACACTGTATATCGGATATTAATAGAACTGAACAAGTCCAGAGGTATTTCACGAGAAGAGTCCTCCATTCCTCTGCTCACAATACAATCCCTTATGCCAGCAGGCTTGAAAGTTTGAGTGGGCTTGGACAACATAGAACTACGCCACCTAAAGTCTGACCTAAGCTTAGTACACAAAATTGTCTGCTACAATGTCCTACCTGTCAACGGCTACTTCACCTTCAACCACAATAATACACGGGCAAACAATAGATACAAACTCAAAATAAACCGCTCCAAACTCGATTGCAGAAAATACGACTTCAGCAACAGAGTGGTCAATGCCTGGAATGCTCTACCCGACTCCGTTGTTACATCCTCAAACCCCCACAGCTTCAACCTTAAAACTGTCAACTGTGGACCTCACCCCATTCCGAAAAGGTCCGTAAAGGGAGGGGGAGGGTGCACCAGCATGCCTACCGTCCCTGTCCTACTGTCCCCATTTATCTGTATTTACTTCCTTTGTTCATGTTTATGTTTATACTTATACCTGTTATCTCGTACGTTTGAAAAAATAAATAAATTAAAAATAATAATAATAAAAAGATATGGCGTTGATGAAACCATCTGGAACTGTCAGTATGTGTGCTACATTTTGACAAAATGGCTGCCACAAGGGGTTCATTCTGCCCAGTCGCAAAATGTTTGCCATAGTGAGGTTCAGTTTAGTTCCCCAACGGAGCGTTTTTCAGGTTTGTGAACCTGTGATTGAACAGCGTTCAATCTTCTTTAACCTCGGCCTCTAATAACACGTAGGACAGTGATGGCTAACCTTTTTGCCATCTCATGCCAAAAGCGTGGGGAGCGGGGGGGGTTTGCACGTGTGCGTGCCCACACCCATAATTCAATGCGCCCCGCCCTCACGTGCATGCGCACGCAACTCCCATGCGCTCCCCCGGCGTTTGGCATGCAATGGCACGGTGGGCCCAGTAGGCCCGTTTTTCACCCTCCCCAGGCTCCAAAAGCTTTCTTGGAGCCTGGAGAGGGTGAAAACAGCCTCCCCTCCCCCCCCAGGCCCTCCGGAGGCCACAGCTTCAACCTTAAAGAAGAAGAAATTTTTTAAATGTTTTAATTGGTTTGTGATTTTTAATTTTTGGGCGAAATTTATATATATTTTAATTGTTTTTTAATATTTGTATTTCATGTTCTTAATTCTGACTGTACACCGCCCTGAGTCCTCAGGGAGAAGGGCGGTATATAAATTGGAAATTAAATTAAATAAATTAAATTAAATTAAATAATTAAATTAAATTAAATTAAATTAAATTAAATTAAATTAAATTAAACCATGGACCTCACCCATTCCTAAGAGGTCCGTAAAGGGGGCGTGCATAAGTGCACCAGCGTGCCTTTCGTCCCTGTCCTACTGTCCCCATTTATCTGTATTTACTTCCTTTGTTCATGTTTATGTTTATACTTATACTCTGGTGGCTCAGCAGACTAATTAACATCCACTTACATCTGCTGCCTGCAAGTTCGAATCTCACCAGGCTCAAGGTTGACTCAGCCTTCCATCCTTTCTAAGGTAGGTAAATGAGGACCCAGATTATGGAGGCAATAAGATGACTTTGTATAAATATACAAAAGTATGGAGGCTATTTCTTAACGCATTGTAAGCCGCCCTGAGTCTCCGGAGAAGGGCGCCATATAAATCAATTTTTTTTTAAAAAATAGCCTGTTTCCCGACTTCTGGTGGGACGGGAAATTAGCTGGCTAGTGAGCGCATGCGCACTGGAGCTAAACTAGGGCTCATGTGACCACAGATATGGCTCTGGGTGCCACCTGTGGCACGCGTGCCATAGGTTCGCCGCAACGAGTCATGATCCGGTGGCTGTGCTCAATTAAAGAAAAGATTTCCTTAAAGATTGGCAGTTTGGAAATTCATTTATTTTGAGATAGCATCGAAGTCTGACAGTTGGATCACGTCTACACACCAGTGGTGGTATTCAGCCGGTTCTATCCGGTTTGTGCAAACCGGTAGCGGTAGCTGCAGGAGGCTCCACCCACCTGCCCGGATGTCATCGCATCCTGTTTTTGATGCTCTGTGCATGTGTGGAAGGCCCACACGCTCGCATTTGCGAACTGGTAGCGAAGGTAAGTGAATACCACCCCTACTACACACCCTACGAAAAAGCAGTCTATGAAGCAAACAGGAGCAGAAGGAAGCAAATTTTGGAGCTGGAGAGAACATACCAAAATTTGTGTCTTCCTCTGATGTTTGCTGCAGCACCTCTACGGACTTTGGGTTCAAATCTGAGGGAGCTTCTTCATCACCCTCTCTCTCTGGACCTTCGCTGGACATGGCCTCCAGGAACTTCTCTTGCTTCTGAATGAAGGACTCCATCCTTGCCAGGGAGAGGACTTCGGAGGCCTAGACGAAGAAGAGGATGGGAACAAAATGGAAAAAGGTTTCTTTCTGCTAACTATTGGAAGTACCGTATTTTTCAGAGTATAAGACGTACCGTATTTTTCAGAGTATAAGACGCACCGGAGTATAAGACGCACCTTAGTTTTTGGGGAGGAAAATAAGAAAAAAGCTGATTGGTGGGTGGATCGGCCTCCCGGAATACCCCCAATCACCTGTTCCCAGAGGTGAACTTTAGCAACAGGTTCGTTGGTTGTGAGCTCCATGCCTTGCTTTTTTTTTTTTTTTTTGCTTTTTTTTCTGCCTCTGAAAGCCTCCGAAATAGAGCTTCAGAAAAAAAGCCACTGAAGCTCTGTTTGGGGGCTTCTTTTCTGAAGCTGTTTGGAGGCTTTTTTTCTGAAGCTCTGTTTGGGGGCTTTTTTTCTGAAGCTCTGTTTGGGGGCTTTTTTTCTGAAGTTCTGTTTGGGGGCTTCTGTTCTGTAGCTTCTTTTCTGATGCTTTTTTCAACCTCTGAAACATCCGTTTGAGAAGCTTGGGCGGGGCTACATTCGGAGTATAAGATGCACCCAGATTTTCACCCTCTTTTTTGGGGGGAAAAGGTGCATCTTATACTCCGAAAAATATAGTATTCCTTCGTTGTTTCTCAGGTTGAAGACAGACTTACATTCACGCCGTCCCTGAAAGAATATAAAATCTTCTCTGGTGTTCCGGCCACATTTAGCAGCTTGCCAGATGTGATTTTCAGCTTCGACCTGTGAAAAGAGAGGCAGGAAAACATAGTATTCATTCATTTAATCCGGCATTTCTCTGAGGAGCTACATCACTCCCATGGATGCATTGCTTCCAACAGTTCTGTGATTATCAGCAGCTGCAAAAAAAAAAAACCAATGCCAATAGTTATGACATTGTCAACAAGTGAGAGAAAACACACCATGTGGTGGCTTCTCCAATTCTTTCCAAACCTCTTTACCAGAAGTTGCTACAGGAGGCATCTGTATTTTCTTCTGGCTAATTTAATAATAGGTTGTGTTGAGTTTATGTTTTACCGACAAAGAAATAAAGGGAGACTAGTACAGATCTATTTCAAGCTATTTAGCTCTCATCAGCTAGCCATACACTTCTGGGATTTGAACCTGGACTACTTGCATATTAAAGGTAAAGGTTCCCCTCGCACATATGTGCTAGTTGTTCCTAACTCTAGGGGGCGGTGCTCATCTCTGTTTCATAGCTGAAGAGCCAGCGCTGTCCGAAGACATCTCCATGGTCATGTGGCCGGTATGACTCAACACCAAAGGTGCACGGAATGCTGTTATCTTCCCACCAAAGGTGGTCCCTATTTTTCTACTTGCATTTTTTACGTGCTTTCGAACTGCTAGGTTGGTAGAAGCTGGGACAAGTAACGGGAGCTCACCCCGTTACGCGGCACTAGGGATTCGAACCACTGAACTGCCGACCTTTCAATCGACGAGCTCAGCGTCTTAGCCGCTGAGCCACCACGTCCCTTCTACTTGCATATTAGGTGAATGTATTAACCTTGAAGTAGCCCAAGTTCGAATCCCAGAAGGGTATGATTAGCTGATGAGAACTAAATAGATTGAAATAGATCTATACTAGTCTCCCTTTATTTCTTTGTTGGTCAATATAAATTCAACACAAAAATAGATTGTCGCGAAAGCGACTGTGTATGAAGGCCCCTGGATTGGGGCTGAAAGGCAAAAGCAGAAGCAGTATGCTCTGTCCCATCATTGGGTAGACCAGGTTGCCCTGATTAAAAAAAAACACTTAATAATAGGTTGCAAATATGTGCCTGTTTCTTTTCTGCCCTCATGTTGTGCTTGTGAGCGCACTGGGAAGCACAGGCTGGTTGCGTACAAGGTTGTGTACAAGAATTGCTTGATCGTCAGAGGCATTTAAAAGAAAAAAAGTCTCTGCCGATCAGGCAACTCAGCTGGGATCGTCAGAGCCTTTTGAAAGCATTTTTTACAACCTCTTCACCGAAGAGGTTGTAGAAAAAATGGTTTTAAAAGGTAAAAAAAAAAAATGGCCACGCCCACCGTCACATTACCCCCCCCCACCAAGCCACGCCCACAGAACCGGTAGTAACAAATTTTAGATTTCACCACTGGTTTATTCCCTAAGTGAACCAATAAAGATATTCACGGCAGTTATGACTTCAGGCTGCAGAAAGGAGTTGCTACTATGGGTTTGTACATTTGAGCTCAACAGGAAGAGTCTTACTTATTGGATTTCTTTCCATCCGTTGGCTGTTTCCCATCCACTTCGGTCTCACTGAGTTCTTCTGTAGGACTCTGTGGCTCAGGTCTGGGAAATGCCGTTTTTAAGGTATCCACAATGGCGTTCATTACAATCTGCAATAAAAAGGAAATATCCACTGACATAAAAGACAATATATAAGTGGTGTGGTGGCCTAGAGGTAGAGCTCTTGTCTCACAATCAGGAGGCTGTGAGTTCGATCGTAGGTAGAGGTAGGTATTTTTCTCTCTGGGCACATTGAGAATTTATCTGAACAAAACTCCGCATCTGCGACAGGAAGGGCATTTGGCCAATAAAACACACTGCTAGCTCCATTCAGTTGCCCACCTCCATCCTGCAAGGGATTATGGGGTCATTAAATGATGATGATAAAAGACAATATAGGATGGTAGTCCTCAATGTACGACCACAATTGAGCCCCAAATTTGTTAATTGTTAAATTAACAAAATTGTTAAAATTCACTTAGCATTTTAGGTCTTTTATTGCCAGTGGTTGTGAATAACTGCAGTTGTTAGGACAATCTGGGTCCCCATTTTACCAACCTCAGAAGGATGGAAGGCTGAGGCAATTTTGAGCCGGTCAGGATTGAACCGCTGACAGTCGGCAGAATTAGCCTGCAATACTGCATTTGAACCACTGCGCTACCACGGCATGAGCTGTTGTAAGTCGAGAACTACCTATAGTGCTAGAGAACAGTGTTGAGAGTATCTTGGACAGGGGAGACTTCCGGTGAGGAAATGACAAACTGACGTCCTGCAGATAGCAGGAGAAATTACGGTGGAAAACGACAGACGGATGGTGGATCCGTATCACTAAATCTCTCTGGAGAAAGGAGAGATATTGAGATCGCCTATTCATATACTAGACAGCTGCTTTTTTGCTGCTATTGTTGTTTATCATTAAGTGTTGTACCCTATGATTCTTGACGAACGTATCTTTTCTTTCTATGTATACTGAGAGCATATGCACCAAAGACAAATTCCTTGTGTGTCCAATCACACTCGGCCAATAAATAAATAATTCTAATTCTAATTTTTATGAGTACATGGTAGTAACTGACATTTTTGCGATCTCTTGCAAAAAAGTGGGATTCCGTTAGCTGTTAACGTAGCCTTTTTATGAACTCAAGCTTCAACCAAACCGTACTTCTTAATCAATTTGGAAAGTTTTTTTCTTCTGCACTTCATTTTTTTAAAACAAATTTTATACATCTTCATATTTTTTAAATTTGTATGAGTTTTAGCTGTATAATACAGATCTAACCATAAAACACCTCCCACGTAACACCTCTCCTGCGCGAGCTGCACTGGCTCCCAGTGGTCTTCCGGGTGCGCTTCAAGGTGTTGGTTCTCACCTTTAAAGCGCTCCATGGCTTAGGGCCAGGGTATTTACGAGACCGCCTTCTGCTATCGATAACCTCCCACCGGCCAATATGCTCTCACAGAGAGGGCCATCTCAGGGTGCCGTCGGTCAAGCAATGTCGGCTGGCGGCCCCCAGGGGGAGAGCCTTCTCTGTGGGGGCACCCAACCTGTGGAATGAGCTACCTCCTGGAATACGACTGACCCCGGACCTCTGCGCTTTCCGAAAGGCCCTGAAGACTTATTTATTCCAACAAGCTGGCCTAGCTTAAAATGGTTTTAATGGGGTTCTTAAATTTTCGATTTTATTGATTCTGGGTTTTAAATTGGGAACTTTTCGATTTTGCAGATCTGGGATTTTAAATTGGAAATGCCGATGATTTAATTCATTTTAGTTTTTTCTTAACTTTTGTACTATATGTGTTTTAAGTTTGACTGTCCACCGCCCTGAGTCCCCCTGGGGAGAAGGGTGGTATATAAGTTGAATTAATAAATAAATAATAAATAAAAAGTATTATAAAAGCGAGAGCATTCTTGGACAGCAAGCATGAATTAGTCAACCCTTGATGGAACTAAACAAGCTAGCTCACTGGAAGCATTAATAATGGGACAAAGCTCCTTGGATGAGAAGCGAAACGTCTTCAAAGAAAAACCAGAAAATCCAGTTGCCTCTTGAAAAAAAGCACTTTTGGGACAACCATGATCTGGATGACCAAAAATCTCCATAGATATGAATAATGGAAGTTAACTTTAAGTATTTTGAATAAATAATATAGAAGCAGAATCTTTGAACAAAACCCTGTTGCTTGAAAATTCGAACACCATGAAAGGCAGGGGTGAAATCCAACAGGTTCTGACAGGTTCTGGAGAACCAGTAGCGGAAATTTTGAGCAGTTCAGAGAACCGGTAGCGGAAATTTTGAGTAGTTTGGAGAACTGGCAAATACCACCTCTGGCTGGCCCCTGAGTGGGGTGGGAATGGAGATTTTGTAATATCCTTCCCCTGGAGTGGGGTGGGGTGGGAATGGAAATTTTGCAGTATCCTTCCCCTGCCACGCCCACCAAGCCACACCCACAGAACGGGTAGTAAAAAAATTTGGATTTCACCACTGATGAAAGAGGTCATCAGAAGACCAAGTGACCAGATGCCAGAACGGGCATCCTGAGAATGTTCTTACAAGAAGTTAAAGGAGTCATTACAGATAGGCAATCTGCTGTCTATCACAGAATGAGATGGACTGGACAATCCTCAAATACCCACCTGATTAAGTGCTATTGGAAGAAGTGGCTTGAAGCTAGCGTATAGATTTGGTTTAATCATGTACAGCAGGGGTGTCAAACTCAATTTCACTGAGGGTTGTGTTTGACCTCGGGGGGCCCGGGGGGGCCTGGCCAACTCGACGTCACTCGAGGCTCCGTTTTCGGCCGTGATGGCCTCCTGCAGCCCTCTGCCAGCAAAAATAGACCTTGGGGATACCACGTGCGTCCAGTCCGGGCTCCAATTTCAGCTGTGATGGCCTCCTGCAGCCCTCTGCTACTGAAAACTGAACTCCCTGAGGTCTGTTTTCGCTGGCAGAATGATGCAGGAGGCCGTCGCGGCCGAAAACGGAGCCTGTGGGCCGGTCCTTCATTTTTTCCAGGGTGGCCTGTGGGCCAGATCTATGCACCCCATGAGCCAGATCCAGCTGGCGGGCCTTGAGTTTGACCTATACCCCTGATGTATAGGAATGTTGTGTCAGGCCTGGAAGCCATCTTTTGCACTGGGCCTTTAGACCTGCCACATTTACTATTGTGGGAAACTGGAAGGGGGGATTGTATGGAGCCAGGGTGATATATATCCTGTTTCCCCCAAAATAAGACATCCCCTGACAATAAGCCCAATTGGACTTTTGAGCGCATGGCAATAAAGGCCAAGCGTTTATTTCAGGGTACAAAAAAATATAAGACAGGGTCTTATTTTCAGGGAAACACGGTACTCATAATAACATTCCTTTCTCAGAAAGTCAAGGACATCTTGCCCTGCACCTGGAAGACTGAAAACTGGGAGGCATCTCTAGTTGGGACGGTGCTTTGATTGGACCATGTGATGGACTTGTGGGTGCTGGGCAGGGACTTGAACTTTCCTTTGGGTGGGGAAAACCTGGAAGCTTTCAGATTCGGGTTTTCCCAGATGTGCCAATATGACATCTCTAATAAAATGGAACTTTGAGGAAACTCAAGCCTCGGAGTCTTATTTCGTTGGGGGTGTTACTTGGAACCCTGACATGTTGACATCAAACACCTTACCTTATCAATTCTGGAGACCACAAATGGTTTTTTGACGAAGGCAATCCTTGCGTCCGTGTTCAAGGCGAGGAATTCTTGCATTTCTTCGCTATTGGCGATCTCAGGAATTGCGCACAGTTGCTGCAACAGGCAAGCAGACAAGCAGTGAAGCCAAGACACATTCCCACCAGGGGCTTAGGACAGAGGTGGGTCATCGTGTAGAGCAGAGAGCTGCATTCAACGTTTTGAGGCGAGAGGATTGCTGAAGTGGACAAGATAAAGTAAAAGAGGGAGGGTCCCACTTGCTTTTCCTTTTATTTTTATGACCTATGAGGTATTTTTATGCGAGTTTTTAAAAATGACAATAAAACTAGGCCAGATTTAGAGTGCAGTACTGCAGGCTACTTCTGCTGACTGCTGGCTACCTGCAATTTGGCAGTTCAAATCTCACCAGGCTCAAGGTTGACTCAGCCTTCCCTCCTTCCGAAGTGGGTAAAATGAGGACCCAGATTGTTGGGGACAATAGGCTGACTCTGTAAACTGCTTAGAGAGGGCTGTAAAGCACTGTAAAGCAGTATATAAGTCTAAGTGCTATTGCTTAGTGCTAAGGAAGGAAGGAAAGAAGGGCCAGGGTGGTGCAGTGGTTAGATTGCAATACTGCAGGCTACTTCTGCTGACTGTCGGCTGTCTGCAGTTCGAATCTCACCGGCTCAAGGTTATCTCAGCCTTCCATCCTTCCGAGGTGGGTAAAGTGAGGACCCACATTGTTGGGGGCAAAGATGCTGACTCTGTAAACTCTCCTTTAGAGAGGGCTGCAAAGCACTGTGAAGCAATATATAAGTCTAAGTGTTATTGCTAAGTGCTAAAGAAGGAAGGGAGAAAGTATAAAGGAAGGAAAGAAGGAAGGAAGGAAGGGAGGGAGGGACACGGTGGCGCAGTGGTTAGACTGCAATACTGAAGGCTACTTCTGCTGACTGACTGGTGACTGCAATTTGGCAGTTTAAATCTCACCAGGCTCAAGGTTGACTCAGCCTTCCCTCCTTCCGAGGTGGGTAAAATGAGGATCCAGATTGCTGGGGACAAGAGGCTGACTCTGTAAACCGCTTAGAGAGGGCTGTAAAAGCACTGTGAAGCAGCATATAAGTCTAAGGGCTATTGCTATTGCTAAATGAGTAGCAGAAAGAAATCCTGACCTTCAAGAACGATTCCAAGAGACTTTTTCTGGCTTCAACTTTCTCTGTGTCCATGTTACCAAACGGAAGATCCGGAAACAGCTTTTTCGGACCTTTTATGTCTGCCAGTTAAAAAAAAAAAACAAGAATAATTTTATTGCAATGTTAATCATACTAGCTCATCACTCGCGACTAAAATATTGGTGAGATTTTCAAATGGTTTGCAATAAAACCCAGCAACTTTCGGTCAGTTTTTTTACATCACACTAGGCCAGGAGGTTTCTCAAATTTGGCGACTCGAAAACGTGTGGACTTCAACTCAAAGAATTCCCCAGCCAGCCAGGGAATTCTGGGACTTGGTCCACAGGTCTCCAAGCTGCTAAAGTTGAGAAACCTTGCGCTAGGCTGTAATATGATTTGTTGTTGGATCGGTGATTTCTGCAGTCTATGTTCTATTAATTTGACTCACGTGAGTTGCACATCATGTCCAGAGGGTTTGTGAGCAGGGTGGATAAAAATCGATGGTTTTAAAAAATAATAATCGGATTTTTAAAAAACTTAAATTGGATTTTTTAAAAAAAATTAAATCAAATTTTTTTAAATTTTTATTAGATTTATTTTAATAAAATGCTTTTGGAGTAAAAAAAATCTATCCAAAGATAGTTTTCTACTTAAGATGCATTCCTAATTTAGTTTATTCAGCATGAAATGGAGCTTAGTGATGTAGCATGAGGCTGTATATTCTACAATATTTACATTTTTGGTAAATTCATTCAATGAATCCAAGCTCTGCAAGGTGAGATAACGTGCACTGCCTTGATGCATTCATACAATGTCACAGTCACCATGAGATAAATCATAAAACAAAGTTCAGGAATATTCCTTTATCCCATTGTTTTGCAAATCTATGTACACTACAAACTGTATGATGGTTTGAAGAGAAAGGCATCTGTACCCCCAGGCTCTTAAGTGTGAGGAGGAAGGGCAAGCAGTAAAAATGAAAGTGAAAGCTTCTAAGCAGCTTATAAATATAAACATATATAAAAATCGAGTTGATTTAAATCAAGCCTTGTTACTAGTGATTTAAATCACAATTTCAATCGACTTGATTTAAACCGACTTGATTTAAATCAAATCCACTCTGGCTGTGAGAAGCTGGCCAATTAGGCCTAATGTCAGAAACAAGGCCTAGCACACTATGAGAGAAAAGTCAACATTACAGGTAGTCCTTGGTTTACAAGTTTGTTTAGTGATCGCTCGCAGTTACGACGTCACTGAAAAATTAATTATTTACAACCGTTTCAGCATCCCCACGGTCATGTGATTAAAAATTCAGATGTTTGGCAACTGACTCATATTTATGACGGGCTGCAGTGTCCCAGGGGTCATGTGATCTCATTTTGAGACCTTCTGACAAGCAAAGTCAATGAGGAAGCCAAGATTCACTTAACAACCATGTGGCTAACTTAACAACTGCAACGATTCGCTGCACGAATGTGGCAAGAAAGGTCGTAAAACAGGGGGAAAACTCCCTTAACAAATGTCTCACTTAGTGACATAAAAATTTTGGGCTTAATTGTGGTCGTTGTCAACTTGCAAAGCTTTCAAGTTGCCATGAGCAGGAGGGAGGGAGAACTGAAATGAATTCCATACATTCTTTCTGACCGCAATCAGAAGGAGGATGTTAGGTTTCACAGCCAGCCAAAGTGGTTAATTGGAGAATGTGATTTATGACATGGCCAGGGAGGAGGGGAGAGACAGGGTCATAGGGGAACGTAAATCTACGTGGGATCAGTCCTGACTGCATCCGAGTATTGCCGGAATGTTGCTCCTAATAAATGACTGTATTTCCTTTGAAGTTTGGATCATGGCTCATGAATTAATTAGGGCATCTTTCGGAAACTTGACAGTCGTAAATTGAGGACTGCCTGTACTGGATTAAGTGCCAGAGAGAACTGTGTTTCAAACTAAAACGGATCTTGTGAAAAGTGATTATGGGTTAGACACAGAGCTAGTCTAACTACGCCTTAATCTGCTTTTATTCCACTTTTCTGGCAATAAGTTTGTTCCTCAAAGCCTCCTATGCCATGGACAATATATCCAGAGATTTTGCAGATAGTTCATTTAATCTGTTGTCCCTTATTTAACCATAACATCTATCACAATATAAACCATGTGTATTTTAATACACATTTTATATGTTGTTTTATGCACCCTGTTGCATTTGCTACACCATACGGAATAAATAAATAATCAACTATAATTGCCAGTAGAGAGAAAAAGGGAAGAGAAAGGGGGGGAAAAAACACACGAATGTAGACATTCTACATTAACTTAATTAACTCCCACTTTGCCTATAACAAGATTCTGCAGAAAAGAGAATTCAGGACTAACTTTTTATGAACTTCCGTAGATCTGGTTTCTCTTCCAGCCTGGTTTGCAGGTTCAAGAACTCGCGGTATCTTCGGTTCACCGTATGGTATGCGATTTGCTGGAGGCTGTTAGTGCTGTCACTGTCTAATGTGGTGTCATACTATGGGAAGAAGAAGAAGTAGAAAATTGCCACCATCAGTGAGGAAGAAGCCGACCGTTTGTCAAACTAAAGCATGTACAATGGTCTAAAACTGGACTTGACTTCAAGAGATGGTCTGACTCTGTTGGCAATTCAGAATGGTCAGTGAAAAGTAATGATGAAAAGTAACACGGATGGTTGGTAGGTAGGAAGGAAGGAAGGAAGGAAGGAGATGGGAATGAGAAGGAGGGAGGCAGGCAGGCAGGGAGGGAAGGAAGGAAGGAGATGGGAGAAGGAGGGAGAGAGGCAGGCAGTGAGGGAAGGAAGGAAGGAAGGAAAGAAGGAGATGGGAATGAGAAGGAGGCAGGCAGGGAGGGAGGAAGGAAGGAAGATAGGAATCAGAAGATGGAGGGAGGGAGGAGATGGGAATCAGAAGGAGAGAGGTAGGGAAGGAAGGAAGGAAGGAAGGAAGGAAGGAAGGAAGGAAGGAAGGAAGGAAGGAAGGAAGGATGTTTTAAATTATGGGCCAAATTTTATTTAATTATTTTTAAAAATTATTTTAACTTTTGTGTATAAATGTTTTTATTTTGGCTGTTCACTGCCCTGAGTCCGAAAGGAGAAGGGCGGTATACAAATCTAATAAAAGATAAAAGATAAGATAAAGATAAAGATAAAGATAAAGATAAAGATAAAGATAAAGATAAAGATAAAGATAAAGGAAGGAAGGAAGGAAGGAAGGAAGGAAGGAAGGAAGGAAGGAAGGAAGGAAGAGAAGGAAGGAAAGATGGGATCAGAGGAGGGAGGGAGGAAGGAGATGGGAATCAGAAGGAGAGAGGCAGGGAAGGAAGGAAGGAAGGAAGGAAGGAAGACGGGAATCAGAAGGAGGGAGGGAGGAGATGGGAATGAGAGGGAGGGAGGGAAGGAAAGGAAGGAAGGAGTGAATAAGAAGGAGATGGGAATGAGAAGGAGGGAGGGAGGCAGGGAAGGAAGGAAGGAAAGGAAGGAAAGATGGGAATGAGAAGGAGGGAGGGAGGCAGGGAAGGAAGGAAGGAAGGAAGGAAGGAAAGGAAGGAAGATAGGAATGAGAAGGAGGGAGGCAGGGAAGGAGGGAGCCAGGATTACCTTTACGGTGTACAAGGTGTAAGGATGAAACCCTGTCCCACTGTGCTCTCGAGCAATGATTGTTCCTGTAATACGCAGATTCTGGATGATGACGGGACCATCAGGACTGAGTGGCTCAAAGCTGAAAGTGCCCATCGGGGCAGTGGGGGAAGAAGAAAGCAGACTGGGCAGTTGGGCCAGATCTTGAGGGCTGTGTGCCAAGCTCCCAGGTGGCTCCAGCTCTTTCACCAAGCAGGATGGCCTTCTCAAGAAGGTCTTCTCCGGGTCCTCCAAAAGATCAGTCAAAGAAGCTAAGGTGTCTTCAGCAACGGGCTGTATGTGGATGTCAGGACACGGCCCGAGGGAGGTAGCCTGGAGGTTGGCTTCAGAGGGGAAGCCCTCACCAATGTCCTCCGCACACCTGTCTTTCTCTCCCAAACTGTCTTCTGGATCCACGTCAAGAGGCCCTTCCAAATCAAGGAGGGAGCTAGTGAAGAGTTCTTCTGCAGACACGACGATCAAGGAGCTAGAGTCCTTCCCCACATCAGACATGGGGGACTCAACTTCCAAGTCTCCACTGGGGAAGAAGGACCCAAGGGTACCCGGGTGAAGCAAGGGCGCAGGCATGCTCCCATCGTCTTTCTCATTTATGGGGGTACTCAGCGCTCTGTCAACGGGCTCCTTCCCCTCTATCAGGAAGTCCTCCAAGCTATCTACTACATTCTTGTTGAAAGGTTCAGAATCCCTCTGTACGGTTTTATCACCCTCGGTAGCCATTTCTGGCTGAAGGTCTGGGGGCAATACACCGGTCACCACGGGCTGGCTTGAGGAGGCGGCCAATAGTTCCGAGGAAGTCTCTACGATCTCGACGGTGCCAGCGGTCTTCCAGGAGAAAAGGTCAATCAACAGCTGGTTGAGCCAGTCGGGATCCGCCATTTTGTTGATCATGGGCATCAACACGTTGCAAGTCACGAGCTCCACCACCACAAAGCGCCCAGTCCTGCTTTCCAGATGGGGCTCGGGCACCAAGACCCTTAGTAGCAAGTCCACCACGTGCCTGGTATATTCCACTTGATGTGTAGGACTCTGAACCGCCAAATGAGGTTGTGAGAATTCACAGTAGGCTTGCCACAATCTAGTGGCTTCCTCAGAAGGCTCTCCCAGGCTCTCAGCCTCCTTCCATTTCTCCTGGACCTTCTTGTAGGCCTGAAGGTGGCACCCAGCCAGGAGGAGCACCCTTTGGGTCAAGGCCTTCTTGTCCACCAGAAGCATCCTCTTCTGCAGCTCCAAAGCCAACCCCATCATGGCTTTCTCCACTTCCTTCTCAAAGTTCTGCTCGCGGTTTACCGCCCGGTACCAAGAAGAGACGAAATCCCGAATGATCTTTTGAATAATATTCCGGATCTCTTCCTCCAACTCTCTCTCCGATTCGGGATTCGGAGGGCAGCCTTCGAGGGGAAGGAACCTCTCTAGGTGAATTCTGTGGCTGGTGCCGACCACCACCTGGGAGCCCAACCAGGCCCCGAGTAAGGCCAACAACCCCGATAAGATGCAGAGCAACCAGACGTTGACCAGTAAGTGGACCACTAGCAACCAGCCCACCAGAGCCCCTAAGGCCATCAGCTTCCTACTGCCGGTCAGGTCGCCCAGTCCCACACCTGGTTCTGGCATCCTCAGCATCTTTGGTCCCTAACCTTAATCACTGCTCTCTTTTTTTTGCTTTAAAATCACAAGGCTGCTGCTGTCCATAGGTGGAGTTTGCACGCAGGATTAAGAGATGCGTTCACAAAACCCATCTGCCCACCTCTCTCGCTCTACGGGGGTCTCTGCACTTTGCAAGCCGGGTTTGGGCTCTTCTTGCACCCTGGGATTTTGCAACAGGACGGGTTCAAATCCACCCCCACCCCTACTACCCCCCAGCTAGCTCCCTACACCAGGCTCCCTTGCCAAGCTCAGCAAAGCGTTCCTTGCAGGCCACTCTCAGCGTTTGCAAACCCTCTCGAGTTTTTGTTGTTGTTTTGTTTTGTTTCTCCCCACCCCCCCACCCCCACGTCCCGCCAAGCAGCCAAAACGGGCAATCGGCCGCCTCTTTCAACGATGCAAAAAAGAAAAAAAATGCAACATGCAAATATAATAATAATAATTAATAATAATAATAATAAAAGCTGGGTGGGTGGAAAAAAAACAATGTCAGCCAAAAATATAAACAATCAAAATGCGACCCGCCGAGCGGCTCAACTCAGCCACCGGCGTCCCGTTTGCAAAGCGAGGGAGAAGGAAGGAAGGAAGGGGGTGGGGGGGGTGGGGGGAGAGGCTTTTCTGACGCCCCTCCCACGCGCGTGGGGCTTCCCCCACCCCAGTCCTCGCGCCGCGTCATCGCATCCCCGGGTCTCTCTCTTTACGCACGCGCGCGCGCGGCTAGAGCGCATAGGGTCGTGCAAAAAATAATAATAATAATAATAATTATTATTATTATTATTTTGCAATGTGCAAAAAAGCCGGGCCCTTTTTTTTATTTTTTGGAAGCCTGCCGGGGCTGGAGCTTTGCAAAGCTTTGCAAAGCCTTCCCGGCCTCTCGCTTGGCCGGCCCTTTTCCCCGGTTGCTAAAGAGCTTTTACCAAGAGGGAAGCGTAACCCAGGCGGGTCGGGGAAATCGCAGTGCCACCTGGCGATCGAGGCTCCGCGCCGCCGAAGGATCCCACGGGCTCGGCGGCGTTGGGCTTGTGATCACTCCCCCCCCCCCTCCTTCTCCCCTTTCCCAGCTCTTCTGGGCTGCTTCTGCCTTCTGAGTTCCTTAAAAAAAAAAGATATTTTTATATGATATCTCTATTTGATTAAAATAAAATATGAAAGTCCTGTGAACTTTCTTGGATTGGTTTTTTTTTCCCCCCTTTTAAAACGTTTCGCTTTCTCCTGCAGGAAGCTTCTTCTTTTCATTTTCATTTCATTTTCATTTTGAGGTAAATATAGCAAATAAGAAATAATGTGAATAAAATAGGAATCATACAGAGTCAAATACATGAACTCTGAGAGAACCTCTCTATTCACATTATTTCAAGAGAGGAAAGTGCTTGTTGGAAATTACATTAACAAACAGTTAAACCTCATTAAGTGGTAATATATCTTCTGAGACCTAGATGTCACGAAAGGACTGCCATATGGAAAAACATCTGAGTGACCTCACTGTGAATGACACAAAGACCTATATGTTACAAAGAGTTACTTAATCCAATAAATTTACCCAAGGACAGTAGTAACTGTCCCATTAGCAACTCCGAGCACTTAAGAAAAGTTGTGTGGCTAAGATAATTTTGTAAACTAAGATTAATGTTTTAAGTAATTAGATGAACTTATTATCCAGTGTATGTAACCATATAGGGAAAATCGGATGTATGATCTCATGATTAACCATATATGGAAAATGTATGATCTCACTGAATCCTTTGTCTTAGAAATGTATAAAACCGTTGTATCAGAATTCTCTCTTTGTTCAAAGCTTCATGTAAAAAACTGGCTCTGAACCTTGCGCAATAAACTGTCTCTGACTGACCTAGGAATGTTGCTTTGGTCTCATCATTCCACAACATTTAGATTTGATTTATATACCGCCCTACTCCCGAAGGACTCAGGGCGGTGAACAGGCACAAGATAAAACACATAGAATACAAAAACTTAAGAGCAGAAGTAAAATCGAATTAAATCAATTTAGCCCAAGACAAATTTAAAACCCCAGGTTAAGAACAAATTAAAATTTACATTAAAATTTACATTAAAAAGAGAATGGGAGAGGTTAGGCCAGACCAGCCTTGTGAAATAAAAAGGTCTTGAGAGCGCGGCGGAAGGTGCGTAGATCCAGGATCCTCCGTATCTCCAGGGGGAGCTCGTTCTAGATAGTAGATGCCCCCACAGAGAAGGCTCTCCCCCTAGGGGCCGCCAGCCAACATTGTTTGGCCGATGGCACCCGGAGGAGCCCCTCTCTCTGAGACCGTACCAGCCGGTGGGAGGCCGTTTGCGGCAGCAGGCGGTCCCGTAAATTCTGAGAAGCTGTCTTGGAGGAGAATGGAATAGAATTTCTTTATTGGCCGAGTGTGATTGGAGGGACACACAAGGGATTTGTCTTTGGTGTATATATGCTCTCAGTGTACATAAGGAGAATAAAATGGGTTCATCGAGAATAAAAAAGGATGCAACACTTAGTGATGGTCAAGGTAACTAATAAGCTAATGTAAGGTTCACCAAAATCAGTGGTGAAATCCAGTTTTTTTTTTTTTTTACTACCGATTCTGTGGGCGTGACTTGGCTTTTAGAAATGCAGGTTTGGTAATCCATTCAGAAAGACTGGGTCAGGCAGAAACTCCAGATAAGCAACAAACACCTAAGTCCGTGATGGCGAACCTATGGCACGCATGCCCAAAGTGGCATGCGGAGCCATGTTGCCTGGCATGTGTGGTGTCGCCCGTTCCTCTTTCTGGTTTCTAGCATGCGTGCACACTCGACGATCAGCTGGCCTTTGTGCATGCGGCAGTGCCATAAACTGGAAGTATCTTATCCGATGTGGGCATGTCCCCTGGGCAGCTCTTCTTCCTGGTTGCGGCCCTGATGAGTGCGCTCGTGTGTGTGCTCCCTTTATGGCACTTGGTGCCGTGCGTGTGCGCATGCACTCCTTTTTTGGCACTCGGTGCCAAAAAGGTTAACCATCACTGACCTAGGATTTGTATTTCTTCTTGCCTATAGAGCCAGCTATGACCCAAGGGGTTATGTAGGGGTCATCCTTCTCTTCTCATCCAAGAAGCTTCTTGGATGAGAAGTGAAACATCTTCAAAAGAAAAAAAAACAAGAAAGTCCAGTTGCCTCCTGAAAAAGCACCTTTGGGACAACCATGACCTGGATGACTGAGAATCTCTACAGGCTTTGGTCCAGTTTTATCCCTCGCCTTCATCCTCAGCTTAATATTTCCACTAAGGTGTCTCCATCACCTTATCACCCAAGGCAGGCCTTTCCACTGACGAGCAGTTGCTAACATTCTAAAGGGAAACAATAATAAGGATATAATAAATAATACTAGAATATGATATACTGGTATACTAGATTCTGTAACCATTAGGTTCCTGTAATACATATATGCCTTTGTATTTGTATCACATATATTATGCCTTTATATTTGTATCTCCTGTAACAAACATATTCTGTTATTAGGCCTCTGTAATGTATCTGGTATTTGTCAAACGTATGCCCCTGCCATTTTTTATTTATTTATTTATTTTTTAAAAAAATTGATTTATATGCCGCCCTTCTCCGGAGACTCAGGGCGGCTTACAATGTGCTCAGCAATAGCCTTCATCCTTTTGTATATTTATACAAAGTCAGCTTATTGCCCCCACAAACTGGGTCCTCAATTTACCTACCTTAGAAAGGATGGAAGGCTGAGTCAACCTTGAGCCTGGCGAGATTCGAACCTGCAGTAATTGCAGGCAGTTGGTCTTAATAACAGGGTGCTTTAGACCACTGTACTACCAAGGCTCCTCTTCATTTGACCTGAACTCATATCAATCTTCTTTCAGTGCTATCTAAAAGCATGGTACATATCTCAGTTGAAACTACAGCGATCAACAAAGGGATAATTTACACCTCAGCCCTAATTTATGTTTGATCTGGATAAACTCCTGTCTTCCAGAGCCAGAGGGCTAAGTGGCCAATTGAGTAAACAAAGAAATGCTTAAGATAAAACTAATTGGGAAGTTTCTATTCCCCCTTGCAGGGCAACAAGGAATACACAAACCTAAATTAGGAGGCCAGAATTGGGTACTAAACTGACGTCTCTGAGGGTAAAATTGGACGCCATACCTTTCCCAAGGTGTGGCTATCTCCTCGCATGCATTGTATCTGTATGTTCTGGATATAGTTCCACTCAGTATTTTGTTTTTGGCCATAAATAAAATCTGCTTTTTTGCAAGCCTCATCTTGAGTCTCTCTCTTTGGCATTCTGGTGACTCAAGTGTATTTTGGGACCTTACAATTCAAAGAAGTTTCTGTTCATGTTGTGCTGAAATTGGTTTCTCAGCAGTTCTGCTCTAGCAAATGTCTCCGTTGTGAGCAGGACTTTTAGGGGAATCCCTAGTTTTACAGAAATGCAGAAAAAAACTTGGAAATCCATCCCCATTTGATCATCGATTTAAAATACCCTCAAAACATGGACTGAAATTGTCATCAAAGATAAAAATTGGGGAAGGTGGCAGCTAAAGCTTTGAACATGAATAGTTCACACTGTTATCTTCGTTTTGTCTGGGTTCAACTTTAATCTACCTGGTTTGTCAACTGTGGATCTCTCCATGTGTTATATCATATGGGTTGTCCTCAAGTTTTAACATTTTTATTGGGTTATAAAATAAGATGCAAAATAGGAAAGTCAATAGGAAAACAGTGGGGAGGAAGAGGAGGAAGAGAAGCGAAGGAAGATAAGAAAAAAGAAAAAGAAACATTGATTTCCGACTCTCTCGGTTGCAGTAAAATAAGGCATTCGCTAGGGTGGCGCAGTGAGTGCAGTACTGCAGGCACCTTCCGACTGCCAGCTGCCTGCAATTTGGCAGTTCGAATCTCACCAGGCTCAAGGTTGACTCAGCCTTCCATCCTTCCGAGGTGGGTAAAATGAGAACCCAGATTGTTGGGGCCAAAGATGCTGACTTGAAATCGCTTAGAGAGAGCTGTAAAGCGGTATATAAGTCTAAGTGCTATTGCTATTAACAGCAAATCACCACTTTTTTGTTTTTTCATAATAATGTGTGAACAAGCCATTTCTATAAAGATCTATCAATCTAACTGGTAAAAAAAAAAAGCCAAAATCAAAGTTTCATTCTTTTCCACTTCAAGCACAAAGTTCAGAAGTGATCTCCATGTGGAAATAAAAGTACTTATATTCTTTTCTTCAATCAAAATAATATGGGTAGTCCTCAATGGGATAACTGGATGACCCCACACCCTCCTAGCACTGATGATGGTATCTAGTTGGGTAGTGAAATGTCTGCATGAAAACAACCAAGCTCAGAG